TTTTATGTAATACATTGCATATGTCTGTATATAATTTCCTTTAAATTTAATTAAAATCCATTGTTTTATGAAAAAATGAGAAAAAAACAGATACATGTCGAAATTACAATATTAATGCAACACCTGTTATTAAGTAGATACATATATATTTAATATATGGAACAACGAAGACAATAAGTTTACTATCTGTAAATTACAGGAATAAGGCGTTAATACAAACAGAACACTGCCACCCCAGACGAAGCCAGTGCTACCGTAGCGGTGCTACGAGAGGTCATCGACCCCTGGCGTAGAGCCAACTGGGCTATCTACGTATAGGAGAAAATAATTACATTGTGAGACGTGATCATGCAATGAACGTGTGTGTTTTGTTTTTATTATAATGAATATAATAACACAACCATATTGTGAAATCACCTTCCAGCATTGGTAATTCCGATCTGATACGATATTGTAACCTTCAAGAAACGAGCTTAGTCCTTCTTAAAAAAACCGGCGGCGCACTTGTAATGGCCCTGGTGGTAATAGGTGCTCATGTGCGCCGATAATCACTTACTATCAGATGGGTCCGCAGGATCGTTTGTTCCCTATACTATTAAAAAAATATATACTTTGGCGACCGTTATCCCAGAAGTGATATTATAGTTCCTTGTCATACTGCATTTCGTTTGGTAGCTACATCTGAATCTAACTTAGCAGAGCTGAGTCTACTATCAGTGCTCAGACTAATTTGATTTGTTAACGGTGTTATTATCATGAGAGTCAGTCAGAAATTTAAATGTTTACATAATTATTTTGTCACATGTCAAGCGGACTTGAACTCCCTATCTACGAAGTCTTAAGTGCGGTAGTATACCAATAGGCCGCGACGCTCTCATATCAATAAATAAAGATAAATAAACTTCAACTTTCTTCTCATTTGAGAAAATTTTCTGCATCCGTTCTTCATATGAGAATTTCATTTTTTTTTATTTATTAATTGACGAGATGCTCTGTTACATGTATATTCTTAGATAAGTCTACAGTATTATATTATCTGTGCTTAGATAAAATAAATGTAGTAAAGTAACACGATATACGCATGATAATGGCTGAGAGTGAATAACCCTTTTTAGGGTTCTGTGAACTTACGAGTAACTTAATTTCTATTGTCTAGTTCATCTTTTACCTTATCTTGTTTATATCAATACTAATTATATAATTGTGAAAGTGTGTCCGTCTGTCTATCTTTCTGTCCTGTCTTTTTACTTTGCTACAACAATATCTGTTCTACAACTTACCTTACTTAACTAAACGGCTGAATAAATGTTAATAAAATTTAGAAAGAATATAAATTATCGTGATATAATTTATAGTCATATTAAATTTTATTTTGAACGCGATTTTTCAAGTAAAAAATAGAGTAATAATAAATAAATAAATGTGATCTAAAAATATATACCATGCTAAAGTAGCTCAAGTAACTACCAAATCTATACCTTTATTAGCTGTTACAAGTGATTTAGCTCCTTTTTTTTTTGAGATAAAAGATAGTAAACTCAGGATTTATTAATATTCTTTCAGTGCAATTATGAAATGGTATCAAAGAAGCATACGCCTATACAGATAGACTCACGTTTATAATATTGACATGAAATTAATGATTAAAACTGACCAACAAAGATGGTATTCTAGAATGTTAGGGCCGACGTCGTTTCAAGTTATTGAGTTATAGAAATTGATAAATTGTACGGATCCACTGAACTGGCTCAACGCCGAGTAACTTGATCATTATTGAGGTTAGGTCACAGATGACAAAGTAAGTTAGGTCACTGTTTGATGTGTCTGTCAACAAACTACCTGTTAAATGTATTTGTCGAAACTTTACACTGACCCATTATTTTTAGACGACGTGAAAATGAACTCGAATATGGCCATAGTGTGCCGTCTAATGAGTTTTTATTAGAAATTCCACCAATCAGTAATGCAGGAATGCGATGTTATATATCAGTTAGAGTGTCTGCTAGTAGTGAACTGTAGTATTGTTATGGTTTGACAATTGTTATTTTTTTTATATTAGGCCAAAATGTAATGGCCTTGTTGGCAATGTAAAACCCCTTTTTTAATAGACAAATATGGTATTGTAGACCCGCTTTCCCTAATGGTATACGTTTGCGGTATACCAGTGGAGGATGATAGGATGAATATGAAGTCAGGTCAGTGTGTAATTCAGGGTGAATGCATATTTTTCAAAAAGAAACTGAGTGGTGGTCGAAATAACACATTATTAGCAAGAAATTATATTCGATCGAATATAATTTCCATTACTAACAATCACCTCCTCTCTTATTAATACGAGTATATATTATTATTTATTTATTTAATATTAAATAATATTAGACAATATTAAATATTAAATTAAACCGGTATTGAATCGGTACCCATAGGTACCGATTCAATACCGGTATTGTATTACTTCAATTTCATTATATAGTTAGATAGTTTCTATGAGAATTATGCCGGAATATAGCCGTTATGTCATGTAGGTAGTAAAAATGGCGAAAATAAATTTACCAAATTATACCCCGGAGAAACCCGCCTAAGTCGTTCAGTAATGAATAGAAATGAGAAATGATATTCATGATAAGAATATAAAGTTGTCTGTTAGCTGCTAGCTTACATGCCTAATTTATCCGCAGCCTCTCATTTTTCTTAATAACCACATATAAATTCCTATTTCCAAGGTAACTATATAGAATGACAAACACTTTCTTATTTTAATTCATTAATATTTTATTGCGTGACGTTTACATTAGTTAGTTTTTGTTTAATATCATAGACTATTTGACACTATATTATACTGCATTTAATTTTAATTATTTCGGACCATAACAACATAAAAAGTATTTTTTTTTAATATGTTATCAACTCGATAAATGAGGATTTGCCATGCAAAATTTGGACTATTAGACCCTGTTAGGTTTAAAATACACGAAATATGCAAGCAATATGCATGCAATATGAAATATCCTATCTATCCACAGACGACTATCCATGAAATTGCTTTTGTACTTTAAATTTTGAAATGAACAAACAAAGTCGCATTTATAATATTAGTACTGTAATATATTTTTTTTATCTATATTAAGTAGATATATAAATAAAATTAATTCAGTCAATAAATATATTCTTATTTTTAATATGTAATCTAATAGTAATCTTATTTTTAATACCACAGAAATATTTTTTAAGCTTAATAATTGATATTTTTACTAAAAGCAAGTACTTACTTATGTCGGTACTTTTATCGACCGATGGCGAGACAGGCAACGTCCTGCCTGCATGTATCGACTGTTAGTAGAGTCGAATTTTAAATACGTCTAGCGAGTAAGTTTAATGGTTAGATTTTATGTAACAAAGCTCATGAAAATAAAATGTAAACAAAGTTTATTAACCCCTGCAACATGCTGTAAATATTTGCATAAAATAAAAATAATACTCAATTAAATCGAGTCGAGTTTAAGTTTATTTTTCTTTATCCGAGTCTGCTAAATATTTACAATAAACTTACTTACGTCGATTGAATGTTACGAAAAATAATAATACAAAATACTTGACTCGCACAAGTGAATAAAATATGAAGAAATTATTTTTCTATACTTTTAAAAATAAGTATATACTTTATAAGTTATACTTTGGCGTTGTTTAATATACATATTTAAACCGGTTTCAACAAGAATAATTTTATGATAAAGAAACGTTTTTAACGGCTACTTTTCACGACTACTACAACCTAATCAAAACATCGGGAGAGCTAGCTATCCCACAGATAATAAAATATTACATACCTATACTAATAATCGGAGCAACACTTACCGTATGATATACCATATATTAGAAACTATGTTGTATAAAAGGAAAGAATAGTAATTTCCTAATATTTGATTACTACTTTTGATATCTATTGAAGATATTACAATTATTAAGAGTACTTTTAGTTCTAAGATTTCCTTACTATTCCTATGTATGCAATTTATTGTCTGTAAAAAACTCAAGCTAAAAGGGTAGGTACAAAATTCTTAAGAATTGAATACTACAATGGTGTTCTTATCTCAAGAGACAGATTGCTTACAGTCAACTTTAATGTTATTTATGTATACTTCTGGGATTTATAAATTGTTTTTCTTAAATCGTATAATAGAAATAAAGTATTCTTACTAGTAATGAAATACGAATGCAAAAGTTTCAAATCGACCTAACGAATCTTATTGAAATTCAGTGTAAATTTAGACTGTAACACGACGAGGGACTGATGAGGCTTTTATCTCAAAACTAGCTGAAAAAGCCACGGAAATAAGTCAGTTTTAAACAGAACATTATTTGTATATTCCACAAATTATCTTCATACCAAAAATAAAAAAAAACGGTAAGCCATTTAGACGTAAAAAACAACAAACAGACATTCAGTGAGACACATTCGCATTTATAATAGTAGTATAAATTATAAACTTTATATATTTGTTCAATATTGTACGATGTTGGTCGACTATTTGCAATGTAATATAAATTCAAAATTTCCGCAAAATCTTGGTACCTATATGCTTCTCACATCCATTATAGGCTGTTCGGAAGAAATATATCATCCCATATCCATACTGTTTGTTTCATTATACTTTACATCAAACATTTCTGGGTCCGTAAAGAATATCAGAATTTCAGTGATATACCTGTAACTATATCCCTAAAACCGTTACATGTTTATCACATCTCTCAAAGAAATCGTTTTTCAGTCACCTTTATTACATATACAATAAGAGCTACTAAATCAAATCGTACACAAAGTTGAGAAACGTATTTCAATAACGGGCACACTGTGCATAATTTTGTATAGAATTTCAGCACTGTGCATGTATGGTTTTCTTGGTGTTGAGATAGAAAAACACTTTAGGGTTGCCAACGCATGCGCTTCAGAAACAAACAACCACCCCAGTGAAGCCAAAGCAACGTCGGTAAACCGACGCGTCACGCAGCACTTTAAAAATATAACAAACAACTTATATATGAATTTGTATATTTCATGTTTATATTTAGAATACCCTACTATTGTAATTTTGTCAATTTTATGTGTAGTGAAATATTTAGTAGAATTTGTATAATAAATTAGATCATTGTTCTAGTGAATTTAGTGTAAAAGTTTTGGAGACATTTTTAGCGATTTACTGAAAATGTATGCTGTATAATTTTAGTAAGTATAATATTTAATAATATGTAAATAAAATATTTTTTTATTTTACTGTAATTCTTAGTTATTCTTATTTAATACCTATAATATACATTCATTTATCTTATCTGTTTACACGCTAAATATCTCTTACAGTAACTATTACGATATGATAATATTTTTATAAGACTGAATAGCAAAAATGCTGACTTTTAAGAGCCAATGAGGCTGTTATAATATCATAAATACACTGCGACGTCCGTGATCCCTTGCGTTGCCATTGTTAACCATAGGTATCCGTTACACAAAGTACTGCTTAAAAAGAATGTGCAATTAAACAAATTAAATTTCTTCTATCCTAACTAAATGCAATACATTATCTAGATTATCTATAGATAGTCACAGACTATATGTCATAAAAGTATATACTTTTTAATATATGTAAAATGTTACCTAAGACGCGAAAAATTAACTAACTAATTATAACAAATAATTAAAAAGCTAAGTAGAACGACAAATATAATTGCGATTTTGCTTCTTAATTCTCCATGATCTGTACGGTCATTTTTGGTGGAATTGAGGCGGGTCAAATCGAAATCTTATCGACCGGATATATGTTATATTTGACCTTTTATTTTATTATCAAATGTTTGTCTAACATTATTTACGTTTCTGTAACATATTATAATATGTTAGTCAGATATGACAGATTTACTATTGTAACATAATATGTTACAGAAATGTAAATAATGTTAGACAAATATAAATTTTTTTTTTCGATCATGAATTTACTGCAATCTGAGGGTATTCTTAAAAATAATATGCTATATAAATGGTGGTAGTTGTATATCATCGCCAATTAAATGATAATCTACTTATTTTTATAGTAATTAGTATATTGTAAATCAATGAAAAAACTGTATTTACAACATTTTTATAAAACAATCTTAGTGTAACATATTGTGTAACCTTCGAATGAATCAAAATTCGAAATCCCCACAATAGAAAAACACAAATATATAAATATATATAAATTTCTGGAGTCTACTACCAATACTACTTAATTTGAAACTAGACGGCGGTATACTATATTTACACATAGTGACTTATATATATATATAAAAATGTTGATTCTTACTATGTATATAAGTGCAATAAAGAATATATATATCCAATAAAATATGAAGGACAATTATTGAATTTTTCAAATTCAAACATATGTATTCACTAACTTATCCCGAAGCATTGTCCACGTGAATCTATCTACGAAGTTCTATTTAAATTCACCCAGTCATAAACTACTGATGTCCTCTTTTTTGTACCAAATTTCAATAAATCTCATTCAAATCTTTAAGACTGATTGATTGATCAGACATCTAAACGCGTTAACAACATTTAACACTTATGACATTAATATAAAGTAAAATGATAAATATGTAATATAATAATATGTTTAGAAAATGTTTTCAATTTTATATTCAAATCGTAATAGATAATTATGATCGTTATCAAATATATGTTAATGTAGTCCTATAAATCCCATTGATGGAAGTTGTTAATTGTAGGAGTGTGCTACAACTTACACACAGATATGTGAACACTTTTTTTTTGTTATTTATTTTGAAAACCAACAGCGAAATACAAATAATAACAAATAATATGTACTTAAATATAAGGCCAATTAAAGGTTTTCTCACAATTACAATATTCAGTATTACAACACTAAAGTATTAACATATTATTGTTCTGTTTATCCACAAGTCTAATTTATACAATATAATGCTTATACCATCTAATTTATGCAAATTTTTAGTTTCTTACTACGAAGTAATAACTTTGTAGCATTAGATTTAAATGTTACCTTTTTTAAGCTAAATATATCGATTTCACTAAAAACATCGTTATACAGCTTCGGTAGTCGTATTCGTGGCGCGTTCCTTCCTTATATGGTTATGTTCATTTAATAATGCGAATGAAAAGTATTATTATATCTATATTTATTATGTAAATTTTATATGCCGTATCGTAAAGAAATACCTATAAATTGCTTTAAAATTAGATATGTATTATTTATCACAATAAGTGCTTACATCAGCGTGACAATCAAGTTATATACTTCGTATAAAGTCGTATTCGTGAGTATCTCACTGTTGCCTATTTTAGCTGCCAAGCAGCTTGCTTGCTTTATGAGGTCGTGCAGTACAGGGTACAAAATTATGACATTTTAGTCCTCGATATGAATAACATAATTTTCGACCGGCTATTCATGTATATAGCCGATTGTACCAGTTTCCTGCTAATCATGTTTATAGGCAATTCTACCACTTAACATCAGGTAGGCTGTCAGCTTGTTTAACATTGCAATTATATAAAAAATATATCTACAACCCACTAGCAAACATAAGTCAATTCATCTACAAGGTAAGAGTATGCTTTTAGTCCAGCATCCATGTCACAACTTTAGGATCGTCACTTAATCTCACGGGGATAGTTCTACTTTGGGTTTGTTTGTAAGTATACATATATATAATCACGTACATAGACCTGGAGGAATTAGGACGAAAATTTCTCACAATATATGAGTTTTATATAGTAATCGCCGGAATATGCTTGAAAGTACGAGACGAAAAGTCATTGGTATCAATTTTTTCTACTTGACCCGTGAGTGGTCATGCAGAGAGAATGGAATCTGGAAGATAGTTAAATATCTGTCATATGAACAATAGACATCATGACAACATACTTACATCGTAATATCAAACGTATTTCTATTTTAGTATTCTGAAAAGTAAATAAGTAATATCGCTTGTGGGCAAAAGTCGCAGAATATCAACGCTAAAAACGATCCTACAGAGACATTTCTACGACAGCGAAGCCAGAGGAATTCAAAGAAGCCTTTTAGATATTCTCACCTTTAGAAATAGGAATTTAATATATCTGTAAGTATAGACGTTGGTATAACTTATTGCCTACTTTTAGCATGCTCTGATTTATTTCATTCACCTCGGAAAAGAGATAAAGTATAACATGCCCAAAATTAATTTTTTATTTATTCCAAAATTCATAACTATAAAGAGTACATCGGTACCTTTTATAGTTATGAACATAAAAAGTATATAAGTACTTCTTATAGGTATGAATTTTGGAAATTAGTCGCGATTTATACTTATGATTTAAATATGCAAATTTTCATGATACTTAAAGGGATTTTTTTAAAACCAAATTAAATTAAAGGAGAATAAGAAATGAAAATAAAACTTATAACAAGCGTCTTCGGCTTCTTATCAAGAACTTTTATAAGTAGGATTTTTTACTCAACAGCTTATTCGGAAAATAGTCAAGAAAAATTAACAAGTAAGTTGTCTGATGCTCTTTTGTTACAAATGTACATTTTTTGGGAAAGACGTAATACAAATTACTACATAATACGAATACATAAAACTTCAAAATATATAATTTGAGTAACAAAATAAATCGGTCGTAGTGATTGGAATAGACCAGTTACAAAGCTGCAAATATGCTCAAGATAAATATAAATAAGCTGAAAAACATTATGAACATCATTACCAATAATATATACGGTATTGTTTAAAGTTATTGTATATCACGTCTATCGATTTTAAGAATGAGCACTAGCGAAAAAGATTTCTCTCTGGTCCTATATGTAATATTCACTCATATAATATAACGTATAGGTACAATGTAACAAAAATAACATATTCATCCTTGGATGGACTACTAGAGATAAATACAATATAATAGACATATATAGAACAAGCTAACGCGTAATTCTGTCTGCGTCCAAAAGGAATATATGTGTTTCTTATTGTGGTAATATTTTTCATTGATACACAACTCCTATTCGTATTGATACATATGCTATCTAGCAGCAAAAATGATTCAGAAATACGAAGGTTTAGTTTCTAAGTTTAGCACTTTCGACTAAACAAACAAACTCTCGGATTTATAATTTTACCATCACGACTATTATGAATGAATGAAACTCTTTATTATCCTCTCACAGAATATTATCCCCAATGTATAAATTTACATTATATTCTAATAACAATTATACTAAAATTAATGACTGTAATAGGTACCAACCTAAGCTGATATTAGACTAATTAGATAGTGGGAAGGTATAATTAATCTTATAATATAAATCTAGATGTAACATTTATTCGCTATTTAATGGATTCGAGTAAAATAGTACCTAATATAGAAATTTTCTATAGCACGAATTTTTTAGTAATTGGATGTATAAACAGACTGGCAACCTCAGACAAAATTGGTCCATCAGCCTATATATGTATATATAGCATTAACAGCATGCATACGAGATGCAGTGCTATTTCAGAGGATTAATTTGAGTACATATATGAGTACTACAATGCTTAATATTCAGTTAAAAGCAAGGCAAATTAAATTTAATATGTGGTGCCAAATATGTAATACTAAATACAATATTGAATAAATTTATCATTGAGAATTACTTTCCTTTAAAACTATATAACATTGATCCCTTTTTTTTTGACTACTCTAATGCTTTTGATCGCAGCTGGCCTTTACAGCTTCACCGGACGATATGGGGCGAGTGCAGATGACACTCCAAACCCTCGGAAGGACTTATGGAGCGGTTGAAGTCCAAGTCCTGCCCGACGGATACGACTTTACCCTGAGGGCACCGCTAGGGGTTCAAACCTCGGCTTAGGCCCTTGTAATTTCGATCTCCATTTGAAATGGACGGGGATCGATCGGCCGTACAAAACATCGCAGCTAAAATTGGAATATAATAAATCTACTTTATATATTTTAGAAACATTGAGTTTAATGTAAATAGTTTTCAAGTTGAGCAACCCAAGAAAACATTTTTTTATAATAATTACCCACATCATTAACCCATAGGCATACCTCGCGATTATTACTTGATTTCCTATCTTTACTTCTGGCCCCTTCTTTACTAATTCCTCTTTCTGGTCCAGTGGGAGAGTAGCCTCTGTGCCGGCAGTACTCTATTCTCTTCT